CTAGCACTCATAATCCTGGACTTGCTGTGGCAAGGTCACCCCAGTACCTTTGCACAGACTGCTTTGGCTGCTGTGGTCTTTGGCCTCTTTTACAGTGTATTACATGCCCAGCTTGAATTCACACTTTTCTTTAAGGCAGTGGTTCTCAGTCTTCCTAATGCTGTGGCCCTTATAATACAGTTCCTGTGGGTTGCGATTCACAGGTTGAGAATGGCTCAACTTTAAAGCTTTCTCCAGTTCTCCCTGGTCGAGTGATTCCTTCTCTCTGCTTTAGGCCCTGAGCACTTCTAAGTCACAAGAGATTTCTAGGTTTGCCCGGAGAATGTCTTGTTCTCAGTAACTCCTCAGATGAGTTATGATATTGGAGACTGTTGTAGTAAGTATGATGTTTAATCCTCTGTACCTATTTCCATCTTGGTACTATCTTATGACACTCCAATTGTTAAAATAAGATACGGCTGTGGGCGGCGCCTGTGGCTCAGTGAGTAGGGCGCCAGCCCCATATACCAAGGATGGTGGGTTCAAACCCGGCCTTGGCCAAACTGCAACAAAAAAATAGCCGGGTGTTGTGGCAGGCGCCTATAGTCATAGCTATTTGGGAGGCTGAGGCAAGAGAATTGCTTAAGCCCAAGAGCTGGAGGTTGCTGTAAGCTGTGATGCCACAGCATTCTACCAAGGGTGACAAAGTGAGATTCTGTCTCTAAAAAAAAAAATAAGGCAAGGCTGTGCCTTATTCACCTTTGTATTCTTCCTACCTAAGCCATTCAGAGTCCAGCATAGTGCCTAACTCAGAGCAGATACTTAACAAGAGGAGGGCTGGTTAGCAACACAGATTCTGGAATTAGATTGCTTGGTTTGAATGCCTACTGCACCTCTGGTTAGCTGTGTAACCTTAACATCTCTGAGTCTCTGATGCTTCATTTGTAAAATGGGGTAATAATTACAGAGGCTTCAGAGGATTAAAAGAGTTAATACATGCAAAGCTCTAGAACAGTGGCACTTAGTAAGCACTAAATGAGTATTTACTATAATGATTATTATCTTTTGGATAAATGAAGAAACAACATGGAATTAGCAAGCTGGTCACATTTTTCCTAAGTGACTTCAAAGGGACTTAGAGTGTAATCTAGTCTAGGGGTAGAAATATAGTTCTGATGAGTGAAGTGTGGAGTAACAGCTGGCAAAAGTCTAACCAATGGGCTGAAGAACTAGGTCACTGGTTCTCAAAGTGCAGTCCCCAGACTAGGAACTTGTTAGATAAGGAAATCCTTACGCCCTGTTCCAGCCCAGTGCTACCAAATCAGAGACTCTGGGAGTGGGACCCAGCAGTTTGTGTTTTAACAAGCTGCCAAGTGATCCTGATGCACTCTCAAGTTTAAAAACCACTGGGCTGGACTTTGCCCATCTCCTATTACCTGTGTGTAGTGCGTGCCTTGAGATTTCAAACTTGCTATTGCAAAATAGGTGTGGGGCCTTACCCTGAAAACTTGAGCAAACATCAGGAAGAAAACACCCCTGACTGTAGGAAATGATGTGTAATGTAGTTAGCATTGGCTCTGCCACGCCATAGGAGCTCAACAAGTATCAATTCCTATCTTCATTCTTCTCTTTCCTATAGTAAGGAGAAAAAAGAGGAAAAACCATGTTCCCATGGCAGTGTTTTTAAAGACTTTTGGAGCTCTCTGGAGTAGACAGAAGAAGAAAGGTATAGCAGAGATTTGTGGGAAAGCTTGCTTTGAAAATTAATGTACACAGTGTGCACCCAGCTGCCTGCTTCTGAATGGGTGTGGGGACAGTGTGCATGGGTCAGTGTGCTCAGGGACATCATCACTTTCTGCTGAGTCTGAACCTCAGCTAGAGGAACAGGTGAGAAAGAATGAGGGTAGGCCTGACTGAGGGAGGAAAGCTTGGCTGGGGACCAGTGTTCTCAAAAGAGCTTTACTCATGAGTCAGGCTGGCCCTAGCCACCCCTTGCGGAAGGCCCAAAATGCCAAATGAAGGAATAAGTCTTGTGTGTGTGTGTGTGGGGGGGGGGGTTGCCTGCCTCTGCCTTCTTGCCAAGGGCTCCCTATGTGTGAGAGCTAGCAGCACCCACCTCCCCTGCATCTGGGCTCTTCTCAGGAACTGAATTTCAAGACTATTGAATAAGGCATGATGTAAATACCTGTATCCAGGAGGATGAGAGGAAAAAGGGAATTCCAGTGACTCACGTCTTAAATGTACCCACTTTAGGATGATTTAGGGCATTGTTTTGCAAAGTGTGGTCCCCAGATCAACAACATCAGCATCATCTGTGAATTTGCAAGATCAGCATCTGGAAAATGCAAATTCTCAGGTTCTATCTCACACCCATTAAATCAGACACTCTGGGGGTGGGCGATTCATCAGGTGATTCTGATGAATGCTCAAGTTTAAGAACTCCTGGGTAAGGACTGGGTTGAAGTCTTTTTCTTGTTTTAAAAAAGGACATGTGCTCCCCGCAGCAAAGGGGACTCCCCTTGCCACTGCATCTGTGCCCTGTCACCTATGAGGATGAAAGCATGCTGGGCCTGGACTACAGAGTGTCTCTGGTGACAGAGGCCCTGTGGGTGGTAAAAGGGAGGAGAGGCCTGGGGAGGCTGCCACAACTCATTTTCTCTTAACATGAAAGCCCAGAGGAAGCCTAAGCCTTCTCGCCATTGAAGCTGGTAAATTACAGGATGATGATGGTGATATTACCAATAATGATGATAATAGCACCAATAACGTGAGGTCAGACAGGCACTTTCCCGTCTTCGGTCAAGGGGTAAGGTTGCAGCTTTGGTGCGCTTGCTTCTGATGTAGAGGAAAACCTGGATCCCAGCCAACTCCATTTCCATCCTGGGGGTGCAGCCAGGGCTCTTGGCTCTTCGTCCTTTCTCCCTTCTGCCCACCCAACCTGCAGTCAGTTCCTTCCTCCTGAAACAGGGGTCTGCCTCATGCCTGGGCAGGTGAGGGATGGGGAGATAGTCGAGAGGCAGGCCACAGTCCCTGTCTCTGCACCAGGCCATCCCTTGGTTCACAGACTAGAAGTCAGCCCTAGAAAGGGCAGAAGAAGGGGTTCACCCTCCACACTATCCCACTGAGGGGCAAAGGTGGGCCTTGTGCCTCAACAGGTTCCCCAGCAAACTGCAAAGAGAGACTGGAGGCAAAAAGTGTGTGTGTCAGGGTAGGAGGCTTCAGCACATCCATAAATATCTCCAGCTAGAGTCTCCCTTAGAGATTGTTTCTTCCCTCCTCTCACCCAGAGAAATAAGCCAGAGCAGGGACTCAGACCTGGAGGAGAGAAAAGATCTTCTGGTAGCATCCCCCTTCTGAGAGATCCCCCGCTCCCCGACTAACCCTGCCTAAAGGCGTCTTTCTTATTCTTCAGGTTTTCCCAAGATGAAATATTTCCCTAAATGCTGCAGCATTTCTAAGAGCATCAAAGGGAACAACCAAAAACCCAGGTCCTGGGTCTCTTCCCTCTGGCTGCCTCCACCCTGCCCCCACCCTGGGGCTTCAAACATGAGGAAATTAGCACAAGGCCCCCTGTCATCACATGCAGTGACTTGTGAACATGTGCTTGGGTTGTTTCTCCTTTGCAACAGGAGGTTTAAAGCAGCTCACTAGGGGCTTGTATTTTTTTTCTTTAAAGAACTGTGTGTATGTTAAAGTCATTAAGGTTGAGAAAGGCGGGTGGTGGGGTAGGGGAGTAGAGGCCATTATATCCAAGGAGAAGAAAAATGACCTGTCTTCAGGCTGTCAGCAGAAGAAACGCCTCCGCATTAGGGAGGGGGAGAGGTGCTTGGACCGGGGGGCCTAGGTGGGGGCCCTCTGGGCCTGGATGGCTGGGCAGGGGCAAAAGGCAGAGAAAATGGTTCAGCACACAACTGGGGCCTGGGCAGTGACTATGGCTGCCTGGCAGTGGACAGTCCCTATTTAGGTGTTAAAGAGCCACCAACAGAGATGAGAGCTGAGAAATAACAACAGAAGGCTGAGTTCCTCCTGCGATTCAGGCACTGTGCTGTGCACTGTGCACCTACTTTATGGTGAAGCCACATGGGAGGCCACTATTACTGTCCCTGTCCTACAGGTGAGGAAATGGAGAGCACAGGGATCACAAGTCTTGCCCAGAGCAAGCGAGTGTGGAGACAGTGTGGAGACACGGGCCACTCAACACCTTTGCCCAAGCCTTAGGAGACTTTGCTCTGCTGAAGACCAGCTCATTGCACTGGGTCCTGACCACTCAGGAGAATTTGCTGCCGCTGCCCACCCCCTCAAAGCCATTAAGGAGGGCTGGGGCAGAAGACACCTAAGGAGGGTCAAGAGGGCTGTGATCAGGGAAATGGGAACAGCTGGGGCGGGGAGAGCAAATGCTGTTGGCCCTGGTCCAGCCAGGCCTTTGGCACCTCCCCTCTGCCCAGGTCTCAGAGGAATGATGGAGGCCGGGTCCTCTGGAACCCCAGACACTAGCCATGCAAGCCTTCCCACTTAGAGGGAAACCTCCATCCTCCAGGCTCTGCACCTGTTATCTCTTCCTTCCTTTCCGATCTTAATTTGCTGGGCCAGGAGAGAGATAGTGACACGCCAAGGACTCCTAGAACATCAGAGAAGCTCCATGCTGGCTGGGGCTCTGGAGACCATCCATCTATCTGCTTCCTCACCCAGATGAGCCAAGCTGAATCTTCCTCCCTCCCAGCAAACCCCTGCAAGGACAGGCTGCCTTCCCAGGCTGAGAAGTGCAGTGGCAGAGTGGGTGCAGGGTAAGGCCACATCTGTTATCTGATCTTTCCGTCAGGGAGCTGGCCCCAAGGGGTGCACCCCAGCCCCCTAGAGCACATGCTCCAAATCACTGTTGCCGTGACAGCTTTTGCTTCCCGAGTTAGGGCAGCTCAGAAAGATGAAAGTCCGACCTCACTGGCTGCTCCCCAGGCCTCCTTTGCCAAAACACACTGTGAAAAGACCCTTGACCTTCGCCTCATACTTCCTCTGCTCCACCTCCCATCCACCCAGTTTGTGTGCCCCTCCCCCTGATAGGGTTAGACAGCTCAGTAATTTAGGGATCACTAGCAAGAAAGGTGCAGAGGTCTGAAGTCAGGGAGGGGCTGGGAGGGGAATTTCACCCCTGCACTATGGAGAAACTCCCTTGTTCTACAGCCCACCTCTTCCCACCATCTGTGCACCAGCCCCCTGTGGGCCTGATACCACTGGGAAGGTAGGGACAGGGCCTAGGGGTGGGAAGTGGTGGTGTACAATGAAACGGGAGGAGAATGCATATTTTTAAATCATGTCCTAAAAAATAATTTTCAAGAGGCAAATATACTCCTCCAACTTTTTATTTTGAAATTTTGCCAGGAAAAGAAATGCTACACTCCCCTGAGATCTCCTCTGATTTAGGAAGTTCTTTCTGCTATCTCTCTTCAACTCCTCCCTGCCCTAGCTGCTAGGCAAACAAAGTCTAGTTTATTTAATGCCTCTCCTCTCTCCCCAGGCATGGCCTGTTCAGTCTAGTTCAGCTCAGCTCAGCTCCAGAGCTTAGAATGTGATAAGCAGGGGACTCAGACCAGTTGAAGGAGGTGAGTAGCAAGCTTGTCTCTCTTTACTTGAGAAACTGGAACCACAAAAAACTCCAAGAGTATTTTGCTACAATTGCATAACTACTAAAAATGCCTTGCTCTGCCCACACAAATGAAGACGTTGGGAAGTTCTGTGCAGGGAACTTGCCCTCTGGGAGGGCTGTTCAGTGCAATTCCCTCATTTTGCAGATAGGGAAACTGAGGTGCATTTGCCATCCCTCGGCTGGTTAGTCACAAGCCAGGGCCCTTCAGCTCTTCTCTGCAGTTATGGGAAAGAAAAAGGGCTCGAAGAGCAGCCCTCCACCAGGGCAGAGCTCCTGGGTTCCAGCCCATTCCTAGGATGGGCAGCTCAGTCTCTCTCTAGGAATATCTGGCTGCTGGGCAGCCTGGTAAATTAATGCAACTTTATAGGGTGACAGAGTGATCCTACCTCTGGCTGGGGGTGGGCTGAGAGGCTAGGATCAGAAAAAAGAACACCTTCTACCCTTTCTCAACATGTGGAATCTGGCCCAGGCTGCCAACCTCCTGGCCCAGAAAGAGAGTTTTCCTTTCTTCCACTTGTTTACCCAGAGGAGCTGGGGGAGGTTGTACAGAGAGGGGGGTTGAGTTTATTCAGTCTGCGATGGGGGGGGGTGGCAGTGAAAGCTCTTCTCGGGTACTCCTCCCCCTTCCCAGAGGTGAGGTCAGAAGAACAAAGGTCACAGATGGACCAGCCAGAGTCTGGGAGGAGGCACATGTGTGTGCCTGGGAGGGCGGGGGGCGGGGGCAGGCGCAGGTTTGGCAACTCAGACAGGGAGAAGTCACCGACGGCTTATAAACCAGGCAAGGTTCATCCCGAATCCGGAGGGAGGTCAGTGAGAGCCCCACGAAGTCACTTTCTTGAATGTCACTGACATTTCAGCTCAGCCTCACTCTGCCTTCCCCTCTCTTTTTTTCTCTTTCTCCCTTCACCTTCCTCAGCAGGGGATGAGGGAGGGGAGAGAGCCGGAAGGGAGGTCTGTGGGGCCTCCTTGACTCTGCTGACCATCAGTGGCCAGGAGCCCATCGATGACAGAAATGAAAGGGAGGGGCAGGGCTGGGGCGGGACCAGATGTGTGCAGCTGCAGCACCGCTCTGCACAGTGCCCTGCTGCGGTGGTGGTGGGGGTGAGGCTGGGTGGGAGAGGGCGAGGGGGCACCCCAGTGGGAATTGCTGGGCCCCATTCCTGCTCAGCCACCCCTCTGCTTCTTTTACATGGGGAACAGATCACAGACAGCAGAAAGAGCCCTGTCTGATGCTTCAGCCTGGAATTTTGGTTTATTCTGGGGTAAAAGTAAAAGCAATTGCACTGCGGCACCTAATAAAAACACCCCTTTCAACTGGGACTGAGCGATGAAGGCCAGTCCTTTAGGCTTTCAGGCATCCTAGACTTCTAAGTGTTTCTACTTCATATTCCAGCACCATCCAGTACAGTAGCTACTAGCCACATGTAGCTATTTATATTTAAATTAATTAAAATTAAGTAAAATCAGAAATTCAGCTCCTCAGGCACACCAAACATATCTGAATCTCTCAATAGCCACATGCAGCTGGTGGCTTCCCTATGGGAAAGCACAGACATAAAATAGTTTTCTCATCAAGGAAAGTTATCTTAGACAGTGCTGCTCCAGAAGGGTATTACTCGAGTGTCACTTTCATTCTTGATTTCTTCACCTGTTCACATGATAGGTGAACTGGTCCTCAGGAATGAGGGATCACTGGCCCTGAGGATGGGTGTGGGGTGAGACAGGGTGGAGGGAAGGGAGGTGTCGAGAATGTCCTTTCTGCCAACTTGCAGGCTGTCTTTCCAGCCTGAGTCTCTTTGCTTGTACTAAGCTGTTCAACTTGCCTGGGGAGGAAGAGGGAGGCTTTTGTAGCAGAAGAATTTAGGTGGCAGCTACAGCCAAATGAGTGTTGCAATCATATTCTGCCTCCCATCTCCAACCCCCTGCTTTAGAAAAAGTCAGGGAAAGTATACCAAGGCGGGCCCTAGATAAGGTGGGTGTAGTGACTTACTCATCACACCCTGGGCCACTGGGGCGGGCGTGGGCAGGAATGGGACAGGGACACAGGCTGGGGGTGAGGCAAGTGGTTACGCTTCAGCCAACCTTCAGAGCTGCTGACATGATGGAGATGGAATGAGAGATGTCAAAGTCAGATACTGGCACACCCGGCAAAGCCGCCCAGCCAGCTCACCTGGGGGCCGAGGCTGCTTCCCCCCACCCCCGTGAGGTCCCCAGTGCAGAGAGGTCAGGAAGAGTGCCTGCTCACACACACGTCTATGCACGTGTACCCCACGTAGTTCCTGGGAGATTTCTGGAAAGAATCTCTAGCCAGTGTCTCAGTAAGCCCCAGCTGTTCCCCCAGACTCCAAGGTGGCCAAAGAAGATCGCAGTTAAACAGGCAAGCCTCCCCCTCCCACCCCAGTGCCTCTAAAACCAAGCTCTGGGTCCTTCTAAGCCCAATAGTCCAATTAAACTTTTTGCCCACAGGTGGAAGTAGACATGAATTCCAAGCCTCTTCTTCCCATCTGTGAGCCGGCACGCCCTCAGGCCTCGCCTACACCATCCCACATGGGATCCCTTCTCTGCACTATGCTCTGAAGATTAGCTTGCTCAGGATCACAGACTCCCAGAACGATTTCCTCCCAAGCTGCGCTCCAGGCCACAGGGAACTGACTGAAGAGTTCAAAGGAAAACTCCCAGCTCAGAGGGTGGCCTCCATTAGGGAGGCTCTCAGCCCGGGAGCTGGGGCTCTAGGGATTAGGCCATGGATCCAGGTACCTTGGGTAATGCTCAACTGTCCTTCTCCCAAGGGCCAGAAAGCGCTGTGGGGAGATCCCGGGGCTCTGCTGTTCCCCACAGACCCCTCCTCCTCACCACAGAACCCCCCTGGCATGACTACATATACCTCTCTATAAATACACACATCTTTAGCTATATACATGCATATATATGTGTGTGTGTGTATATATATATATATATATATATATATCTTTTCTTCTAAAGACTTGGCAAGAATCCCCTAGAAGCTTTTTCCATGACACAATAGAAAACCAGCAGTGTCATCAGTTTGATCTTTCCCACACATACAGCTTGGGGATGACCTCTGCAGAGCTGCCTTGAATCTGGCTTCCAGTAACCCAACTGCTCCTGCCCTTCCCAGCCCCCAACCCCCTGGCAACCTCGAAATATAACTAAGCTGCCACTTTATTCTTCATTGGCCTCTATCTAGAAGTGGAAAAAAAAGTTACCACTTTCTACCTATTGCCTTAAAAAAAAATAATAATAGGTTTTGTATTCTTCCAGCTGGCGGCAGGAGGAAATTAGCTGGGCAGTGGAATCCAGTGGTACTTAGGGACAGGTGTGGGTGAGGAGGGGGTGTTGGTGGCTTAGGAGTGGGCCACACTCTGTGGGTGGGCAAGATGGTGGGGCACACAGGGGAGGTATCTATCAAGGCTTAGCAACCATTTGGACGGTAAGCAAAGATGGGGTAGACTCTTATGCTGAACTCTGGATAAACAGGAGAAATACCAGGGTTCAAGGACAGGAAGTCCTGGGATACCTCCTGCAGGTGTCAGGGAGTTATCATTAGGCACAGACTCTGAGAACACTGTCTTCATCCTCCACATCAGCATTTTTTGGAAGGGGGCCTGGGAAGGGAGGAGGGAAAGGCTGACTTTCTCATATATTTTTTTTTCTTTCATTCTCTACTGTTAAAGGTTTGAGTAGGTGGAGACAGCCCTGTAACTTTTCTTTGAGATATTAGGATCCTAGCCACATGTTGACACCATATGTAATTCTAAAACAGGTTTTCTTGATGTTCAGAGTGGAGGGTGGGAGAGGGGATTCACAAATAGAGAGCAGAAAATGCAAAGGAACATGAGAATCAACAGAGATATACAGAAAATGTAGTTTGGCAAACAAACAACCAATAAAAAGCCACAATAAAACCCAAACCCACAACTCCACCTTCCTAGCCTTTCTTGTTTTCTAGTCTCTCTCTTTAAAGTTGGATTGTTATCTTTGCAACAGAAAATGCCAGCAGGTGTTGCTGGCAGCTGTTTAATGACAGTGTCAAGAACGTCTTTCAGGAAGGGAGGCTTGGAGGCAGGAGGCGGTGATGAAGAAAATGGGATGGGGGGAGTAGGTGGCCCCACATCTGCAGTGAGGTAGCTACAGGATGGAGAGATGCACTGGGAATTGTAATGTTATTTTGTACAAAATCCTTCCTGTAGGAAGGCAGGGGGAGGGACAAGAGACATTTTTCAGGTTTTTGCAAACCTGAGAGTTTCAAACTGGAATTATAAGCAGCTCACTGTGTCTTTGAGCAAATATCTCAGCTCCTCTACTCCACGTCTACCACTTTCTTCTTTATTGTTAGTGACTGTCATGAGGATTAAATAAAAGGACCTGGAGACCCCTAGAGAAGGGTCCCGGTGGTCCCCAGAGGTGATTAGTCTTGCAATTATCCCACATCTGGAAAAGATAATGGCTCTCAGACTGGCAGGGGTGTGTCACCAACCAGCAAGAGAAAGATGTTTTTTGTTACACAGGCCAGAGAGGCTGATCTCTGTTCTCTAGTCTGTGTGAGAGACCATGGGGAGGCTGCATTTGGAAAGGAGGAATGCGGGAGTGTCAGCCTTAACAAGGAGTGCACTACCAAGAAAGCCTCATGAACACTGAAATTCTCTTTCCTGTATTCTCAGTTTAGTTCTCTAAAACGGCCCTCATAAAAGCCACCCGGAAAACCTCTCAAGCTAAAAATTATCCTTGGCCAGACCACATCAGCCAGCTCTATAGGAAGACATCTGCAGGGTACTCTGTCCTCCCTGAGTTGTCACTTCTCTTTTCATTAGGGCAATGGCCAAGATCTTACCTGGAAATTTTTTTTTTTCTATACCCGCAGGGCTTCGCTAGGCCATGAGCTCCTGGGATCCAGCCTGCAGGTGTCAGGTTCTTTCTGAGCCTGCTAATCAGATGGGTTGGGTAGGGAGAGAACCTGGACACTCACTGCTGGCATCTGCTCCATGGAGGGCAGCTCACCAAATGCTTTCACACATATGACCTCACTAAGCCTGCCCCACAATCCTGTGAAGTAGGAACTGGAATGATTAATGTCTACATTTTAAAGATAAGAGAATTTGGGAGAGTTCTCCAAGGTTAGTGGCTATAGAACTGCGAATGAAGCCCAAGCTCCTTAATTTCTGGGCTTCTTTTCCCCAGGTCCCCATTGCTCCACCCCTGAGCTGCACACCAGAACCTCTGTGAGAAGGGTGCACTCAGATCCTGTCCTTAGGGGAAGTAAGAAAGAGGTGCACACATCTCAGACTTTCAAACAGATTTAAAGATGCACCCATATCCATCCAGTCTTCGCGGAAGTTAGGACACAAACACATCTCATGACTTCAGATAGGTGCCTGAGGAAAGGACTCAGGGTGTGCTGTTCTTTACCTCTTCCTTAGCCAACCTATGGCATTTGCACATAGCAGGGGTTCTAACAATACTGTCTAAATACTTGCTTTTGGTAAGGAAGGGCACTGCAAGGGTACTGAGGCTTCATGCGGGCTGTAAACCTTGAGCCACAAAACTGGAATTTGTTTCTGAGAGGCACTGTTTATTGACTGAATTATCTATGGGTGTCTCTGTTCAACCCATTTTCCAAATTGAGGTAAGCATACCCACCCACCTTATGAGCTGCTATGAGAACTATACAAGCTATAAAATGTGACAGTATACTGCATAGTGTCATGTGTAAAATAACATCTTCTTGCCCCTGAGGTTGCAGAAGTCACCAGAAGATAAGATGGCAGAAAGGTCTAGAAGCTCCTATGCTGGGCATCTTTACAGAAATGCTCATGCACTCCTGCCCCAGGTGGGTGGGATATAGTGTAACCAGGAGGGGAAGGGCTACATCAGAGTGGCAAAGGGGCTAGCATGGCAGGGTCTCCGTGAGTGAGTTTCCCCTCTTATCTCCATCCAATCCAAAGACATCCTCTATGAGAAGCAAGGGAAAAGGGGAAAAGGCCAGTAGTGAGGATGGTGTCATTACGACAAGATGTTGTGAGGATCCCTGTCAGCCTCAGGATCCTAAACAATGGTGGGATTCATCCCTACAAAAGATCAACCAGCACCACTGCTCAACTCTTCCACACCATGCTCTGGACCTCTGCAGAGTTGAAGGGTAAACACGGAGAGTCTTCCTGTGATAAGTCCTGCTCACATCACCACTCCAGGGGAGGAGGTGGCAGCTGTGGCAGGGCAAAGTTGGTCATCCTGTGGTTGACCCTGGGTCTGAGCTGACCTATACACTCGGTCCCCACAGGAGGCCCAGGGCGGGGAGGGAGGCACAGATTAGCAGAAAGATACCCTGACTCCTCCTTGCCTTCTTCTTGAGCTCCCCTAAAAAGTCAACCCGCGGATGAAGCAGAAAGATGAACATACCAGCTAGCATCTCTTGAGTCCTCACTCTTTGCCAAGCACTGTGCTAAATGATGAACATAACTGAACTCATTTAATTTTCAGAACAACCCTGCACGGTAGGTATCACCTTTCTCATTTGCAGATGAAGAAACCTAAGCTCAACGAGGTTAAGTAATTTGCCCAATAGTGTCTACTTAGCAGGTGGCAAACAGGATTTGAATCAAGATGGTCTGATTCCAAAGTCCATGTTCTTCCCATTACACATGCTGCTCCTGTCCAAACAGCCCACTCATCAGGAGCTACAAATAAAATGCCACACCTCCTACTGCATGCATTAAATCAGCACCAGGAGAAGCTGCAGACTGGGAGAGAGCAGATCTTTATCAAGACACTTTAGGAACAGGGGAAATATCTCTGCCTTCTGCCCAGTCAAAGGTTTGGCTGTTTGTAAGATGAGAAATATTTGGGGAGGAGGGGGAAGAAGGGTGGAATCTCAAGCTAAAATCACCACCCACACTATAGAAAGCCTTCAGGCAAACCGAGCTTCAAGGATTTTGTTCAATTGTGCGTGTGTTTGTGAGTGTGGATGAAGACTGGGAGAGAAGGAGGCAGGAAAGGCATATCTGTTTTCATTCCCAATGGCTGTTAGGAACTGTACTTTCCTCCCTGAACTCATGCTTCTCTCCCACTTACTTATTTCACGTTTTATCTCTCCTGACCTTGCGCAGAAAGCTTTAGTGCATGAGTAGCCTTTGGGGCCAGAAGACCTGGCTTTGCTTTTCCAATCCACCAAGTACTGAGTTGTCTAATAATAACATATTACATGAAAGAAAGGGAAAATAATTTAACCTCCATGAGCCTTAGTTTTCTCATCAGGAAAAATAAATTGTCATAGTACCTGTGTCACAGGGTTATTTTGAGGATTACAGCAGTGCTTCGTATAGTAGTTGGCACCTAGTTGAAACTCCATAAATGTTTGTTTCCTTGATCGGGGTTTCTCAGTCTCAGTACTTTTGACGTTGTAGGCCAGATAATTCTTAGTTGTGGGGTAGGGTAAGTCCTATGCAATGTAGGGTGTTCACCAGCATCTTTGGCCTCTACCCATTAGTCAGTAGCGCCCTCTGCCCCAGATTTAGGAATCAAAAGGTATTTCCACCCACTGCTAAATGTTTGCAAAATTATCCCCTGTTGAGAACCACTGGATTGATGTGATCCACATAGATATTAGCAGCAAGTAATATATTTGAAAGCACATAGTAGGTGTCATTAGTAATGGTCATCTTTTTGAATGGGCATATGAATGCATGAATGACATACTAGTAGTAATGGCACAGCTCTGCAGTTCTGGACCCTAGAAGATTGATGGAATGACAGAGGGGGCTGGGAATTCTGGGCACTGTTTAGTGCCCACCTCACTCTCTGCTGTCAGCTAGCTCTTGGTGCAGACCCAGCATCTGCTGGAGCTTTCAGGTGAAGCATTGACAGCTGAGGGAGGCTGTGAGCTGAGTGTGGCTTCGAGCTAACTGA